GCTTGCATCACCCCCAGCAGAGATTTTAGCCCCATGTGTGACTTTGTTGTGAGGAACAGCTGCGCTCAACCAAGACTTCCGTTCCCCTGCGTCTACTCAGCCTGGAAGAAGGGCTGTGTGCTTTTTGAGCCTCGCATAGGCCTCCTTGAGCCCCTGTCCTGGGTCCAGTTCAGGGTTAGGGTGCCTGGAGCCCACAAGGTAAGTGTGGTGGGAGATGCACGAACTGATCTTAAACTGAACAAGACCAGAATCTGGGAGGGGGAGGTTTTTACTGCAAACGGTCCTCAGGAGCTAAAACTGGCCGCTTCCTTGGGGGAGTCAGGTGACATGGCTGTTCTGATGGTGTTTGAGGTGAAGAAGGTGAACCACGACGAAAGAAACCAAACAGATGGTCAATGAAGCTGCAAATAGGGACTTGTGCAAATCAGTCTGGCAAACAATTCATAATGAGACCTAAAGGCCTTCAGGTTTAACTGGATGAACAAATACAGAACCATCTTAAACTAGTTGTAGTAACAGTAAAACAACAGACTCTGTGAGAATGAATGTATATTGGCACATTCATGGTGAATATTTGGTAAAAGTCTTGATAAAACACAGTTAACAGCTTATAGACACATTGGCAGCAATAAATTGATGTATTTGTGTTTCAAATGGGTACATCAGCTGCACCTTGTTGTTACAACCTCATTTTGAATGTTGCTTCATGTCCGTTATGGTACCGCAACACTTCTGGTTGAGTTCTAGACCTTAATTATTTTATTTTTAGGCTGTTCAGTTATTGCGTTATCTTATATCCTTCAGTTTGAGCCTAACTTCAGCTAAGGAAAGAGTTTATGGGTGAGTTAACAACTGACATTTATTCTGGTTCAGCTGCTTCAAAACAAGCCCAAATCATCAAACCACCACCACCGTGCTTTACAGTTGGTTTGATGTGTTTGCACGTGTTATGTCTAAACAGCTTCACTTTGGTCTCATGTGATTTACAGACACTTATCCAGAAATAAACTGTTATATAAGGCTGTAGCTAAATAAAATTATGTTGTGTTGTTTTTCTATCAGAGGTTGAGATTTTATTTACTCAGTTTTTAAAAAAACAAAAAACAAACGATGATTATTAAACAATAATATTTGTGGTATACTTTAATGTATTATAAGAATGCAAAGGAAGTTTTTTGATTAAACTGTTTACATATTTTACTGTGTGAACTCAAAACTACTGCTAATTGCCTGTAAGTTTAGGTCCCGCCTCCATTTCTTCTTCTATGGTACTCCTTTCTAAAAATTATTTTTGCTCCTCCCCTCGGACTCATCCTGTTAAAGAAAACATGTTGTGAGCTGCAACTTAATGGGGGTTTAATCTTTATAAATTAGAGATTATCTGTGTCCATCTGTTTTAGTCGTAACGAACAACAGATAAGTGAGAGGAAGTGTTTGATACCATTATTGTTTTTTTAATGGGGTTTTTTTTGGTACAACATTGATGCTCAACATTGATAAACATCAATTTGTGCATCATCATGATGTTAAGAGAAACAGAACTGCATGATAAATTAGTTGTCAAAAAGTTTTCAATAAAAAAAAATGTATGAAAGCATAAATTGAGTTTTCTTTTCACGAGTCTTTCAAATCTTTGAAAGTCACTTCAACTCATTCCTGTGGTATAAATATAAGAACACGGCCTTCATCGTTTTTATCACAATAAAGAACAATTTTATTGTTCTTTTGTCTGTTAGCAAAATATCTTATGAACCACAGGACAAATTATAATAAAACTGATCATTGAAGATGGATAAATGTATAATTTATTGCTGGACTGTTTCTGTGAAGTGCAGAAAATAGATGCTCCATCTCCATCTTCTACCTCTGATCTGTGGTTGGGTCGTATAGACAACAGGTCCAGGAGAGGAACCCAGACCTCCCTCTCTCCAGAGACGCTCTCAGCTCCTCCTGAGGGACCCAAAGATGTTCAGACCAGAGAGGATATAGAATCCCTACAGAGAGTTTTGGGTCTCCTCGCAGTGGGACGTGCTCAGAGAACCTCCAACAGGAGGCGTCCTGATCAGATGAACCTCCTCAGCTGACTCCTTTAGATGCAGAACAGCAGCGGCTCTACTCGGAACTCCTCACCCTCTTTTTAAGCCCCCCCCCCCCCACACACACCCCACACACACACACACCCTATGAAAGAAGCTCATTTCAACTGCTTGTGTGCAGGATCTGGTCCTTTCAGTTCTGATCCAAACCTCGTGACCACCGGTGAAAGTTAGAACGTGGACAGACCAGTAAATCCAGAGCTTTACCTTTCAGCGTAACTGTTTTATCATCACGGCTGACCAAAGCAACGCCCTCATTACTGAGGACGAGGCTTCAGTCCATCTCCTGGTCCATCTTATAATCCCTCAGAAACCAAATGCCCAAATCACTCCTTCACCTGAGACAAAGACTTACCCCAAAGACCACGGTGAGAACCGTGGTCTTGGACTTTTAAGAATGGACTCTCTTCCCATCTCTTGGCTGCGAACCGCCCCAGTGCACGCTGAAGGTCTTGGGTCAATGACACTAACAGAACCACATCATCTGCATAAAGAAGAGAGGAAACCTTGAGGTTCATGAACCAGACACCCTCCTCTACGACTGCACCTTTAGATCCTGTCCATGAAGACCAGAAACAGGACCAGAGACAAAGGACAGTCCTGGATGAGTCCAACCTGCACCAAGAACGTGGACTCAGCTCGTGCTTTGGTTCTACAGAATATGAACTCTGACGTAGCCAAAATCAGTCACGTTTAAAGAGCTTTTTTAGTTCTTTATACCTTCATTCCAGTTCTTTCAAACCTTTTAACCTCTGAGTGAAAAGAAAACGCAGCGTCCTCCAAACCAAGTGAGGCTAAGAAGAGTAATCTAACACACGGCCTCATGGCGTTAATGACCCAGACTCACTCGGCGAGCTGCGGCAGACACTTGTGGAGTGATAAGTGTTTACATGTTCTGTCCTATAATCGCCCACAAATAGCTGTGCCTCGGTAAAAATACAATCAGAGAAAAAAAAAAGAGGGCGGGTGTTGGTGGAGGAGGTGTGAGGAGCGAACAAAGAGCGTACAGGATGGGTGGCCTTGGCCTGAGTCGCTGGGGAGTAACGGGCGGCTCGGTGGAGGCAGGAGAGAGGGGCGAGGAAACACTTATGTCAGAGGTTAGAAATGTGAAGGACTGGATCTGCCTGGCAACAAAACAAGGACACACACTCTGCCCCCATCTTTCTTTCTTTATGAACACCAACTGCATCAGGAAAAGGAGGATGGGATCTTCACTTTCTCTCCATTTCTGCAGCAAAAAACAAGGTGAGACAAAAACACATAAAAGCTTTCACCCACTGAAAGCTTCACAGAGCTTTCACAGCAGAAAGAACTTTCTCCAGGTGACAAACGCACTGTGGTCCACCTGGAAGTGTTGCTGACGGGGGCCAAACAAGCCCAACAACAACCAGATCTTAAAATTTAAACCACAACAAGAAATAAAAGCACAAGTGACGAGTGATATAAATATTTTATTAATCATGTGGTGCAATAAATACAACAGTTAATTTATACCAAGTATTAATCAGTGGAAAATGAAAGAAAATACAGATTAATACAAATGCAGGTTGGTTAAATCATTTTTCACAAACACACTGGCACTTCTGATGGTTTTATTCTTCTCTTTATAATATAAACTATAAAAAGTTTAGTCCGATTGCAGCGACATGTATTAAATATTAACCACAATTTTACCTCCATCTACTGTGCAGGGCTTAAATTTCACAGGGTAAAAATGAAATCTCAGGTTTGTGAGAACTGAATGTTCCGTTTGATCCGAAGACGACAGAACGGTCCAACCAATTAGCACCAATGTCCCAGAGGCCAAATAAATATCTGCTCAGGCAAAAGCAGAGTTTTCCCAAAATGGTCACAAAATCACAGTGAAAACGTCCACTCCTCCTCCTCCGAGGATCGTCTGTGCTAAACTGTTAAATATTAAAACTAACCTTCCGCCTTCAGGTTTAATAGATTAACCAGGAAATTTACAAGAAACGTTAGCATTTAGTCAGCCGGAGAGCTGTGAGGGAGTCCGTCTGTTTGGGTCCCAATAAAGAGAAATCCCCCAATTTTAGTCTCACACTCGGTGCTGCTATAGGAAAACTCGTAAACTAGAGAAGACTGCTGGGCTAATCCTCAATAAGCCTTGTGGGTCATTTTGCCCCAGGGGCAACAAGAGGGTTCATCCATCCATCCATTATCTTTACCCGTTTATTCCATTTTGGGTCACGGGGGTCACTGGTGCCCATGTCCAGCAATCACTGTGCGAGGGGCGGGGTACACCCTGGACGGGTCGCAAGTCCATCACAGGGCCACATAGAGACAAACGAGACAAACAACCATTCACTCTCTCACTCACACCTAGGGACAATTTAGAGTTACCAATCAGCCTAACATGCATGTTTTTGGACTGTGGGAGGAAACCGAAGTACCCGGAGAAAACCCACGCATGCACGGAGAGAACATGCAAACTCCACCCAGAAAGGCCCCTGGACCGGGGTTTGAACCAGGGACCTGCTCGCTGAGAGGCAGCAGCTCTACCAGTTGCGCCACCGTGCTGCCCCAACAAAAGGGTTAAGATGCAATAAATAAATAAACTATTTTACAATCAGGGTAACTTTGTAAAACATTAGTGTTATGAAAAGGTTAATTGTGAGTTTGTAAACACGTTAAAAGAATAATTTATAAAACACTGCTCATACAACGAGGAAGCTCATTCTGATTGAACGAGACGAGATGGGACTGAGGATTATAGAGCGATGAACCTCATACAGAACATTATGGTTCCCAACCCTGGTCCCTGAGGAACACCATCCTGCAGGTTTTTGTTGTTCCTCTGCTCCAATGCACCGATGTGAATGAAAGAAAGGGTGATTAACAGGCTTCTGCTGGCCTTAAAAAATTAAACCACTGAATCAGGTGTGAAGGAGCAGAGAAACAACTAAAACATGCAGGATGGTGTTCCTCAGGGACCAGGGTTGGGAACTACTGCATTATACGTCTGCCTTCGACGGGCGTATTTCAAATGTTCAGGATTTGGACGTCCATAATGATGACACAGACAGAACTGTATCACGGGTCGAACAGGTCGGGCTGCTCCTCCTGCCTGCGGTTGAAAGCATCGATCTCTTTGTTGGCCTCGGCAACGTACTCTTCGATAAACTCCTTCATGTCTGCAGGGGCCGTGATGTAAGGAGAGATCAGGGTCAGGTTTACTCTGGGCCACTGTTCCTGGTTCTGAAGAAAAGGATACTGGGATGGACATTCTGTTTCTCTCCAAAGATGTCGACGTATTGATGGCCGTTGTAGAAATAACCTGGAGGCAGGGGGTCCAGGTGTCGGGCCGTCTGAACACAACGAATCAGGTCACAGGTCAAACACTGGACAAACATTCTGCTGCAGCTCATCGATTTCAGGAAGCAGATATAAGTATGAAAACCTTTAGTTATTAATAAATACTTGAACATTTATTCACACTTAGTGTTATTTAAGTTGTGAGATGAAAACTGAAAGTTTGGGAACCACAGATCAGCTGGTTGAACAAAACTAAACAACTCAAATCCCAACAGATTATCTGGATTAATCAGGTATGTTTACACAAAAGTTATAAAATATAAATGAACAGAAAGTAATATTGAATAAAACAATTTATAATAGTTGTTCCTAAAGTTGTGGTCAGGGCTCCACTGAGGGTCATCAGATGACAAATATGGGTCCTTAGAAAAGATCCACGTATCTAAAAAACTGTATTTGTTACAAAAAATAAAACTGCAGACATAAGATGATAAACACGAGTGCGACATGCACATTAAACGCCCATCAACAAACTATTATACAGCAATCTATAGCAAGGGCCCAGACAAGCAAAGACCTGGCTTTAACTTTGACCTTGACTTGTGACCTTGACCGTGGAGTGATGACAAGTGAATGTGACACTCTGTTCAGGATGAAGACCGGACCACAGTATGCCCGCCGTGTGATGAGCGCATAAAGAAAGCAGGAAGGTGGATGTGAAGACGGGCTATTAGAAACATATGTTTTGAAACGGACCACCCGCCTTTGTTACGAATGTTTTTTATTAATTCTAATAAGTTTGGTTGATGACTGGTCAAGGAGGATGTGATCAGCTGAGTGACAGGTTTAAAACAAAAACACTTCATGCTTCTAAATCTCTCGTTCAAAGTGAAGTACTATACGACCCTCCTGCTGCCCTTGGGTCAAATGAGCCGTGAAGCCTCAAGACTGCAGCCTCGTGAGTCATGTTGACCCAAGGGCAGCAGGAGGGTCGAGGAACGGTGTTTAAAATGTTTTTTTTTAAATAATTAAAATGCAGTTTTTAGCTCCTTGAACAAGCTCTGCAATTTTCTGGAGGTGATATTTAAAAAAAACAAGTTTGAGTTTTTTTCCATCATTTCATTTGTGTTCTGCTTCGTTTTACCGTCATGTCAGAAACAACCTTTAACCACCTTCTATGTGTGTAAATAAATAAATAAATAAATATTTGAGCTCATTTTGAGACCACCGTCTTCAGACTCACGTGGATGCTGCTGAGTTCTTGGAGTGAAAGAGTATTTCGGCTCTTTTTCATTTTCACTTCCTGCTTCTGTAAAGATCAAAAACAAACGGGTTTGATCTCCTTCTCGATACAGAGACGGCGTTTGAAGAACTTCTAAAACCCCCACCTGCTTGGCACAGAGCCTCAGCCAGTCCTTCAGTCCGTCCTGAGTCAGACCCACACCATCAAAGACCAGGAAGCAGGGCGGCTCCGGCTCCTCTGGGCCTGGAGTTGGGTGGTCCGGGTTCTGATCTGGGACAATACTCAGGCTCCCGTTCGCTGCGTTGTAGCAAACCTCCATTGTCCAGTCTGAGTCTGGAGGTTTCAGAGGTCAAAGGTCAGAGTCACACCCTGCTGACGGCGTCTGCAGCTGCTGCTAAGGATCATGAACCTAGAAGGCCCACGAGAACCAGAACCACAACAGTCCACTCAAATACAGCCTCATGCCGAGAGACAGCTGAAGAAGCTCACTGAGCTGGTAAAACCAAAACAGCTGAACACTAGCTAAAAGTGAGAGATAGCATAAAACTAGCTGAAAAGGTAAAGATAACAGGAAAAACAAGCTAAAAGTAGCAAAACAACAGCTGCACACTGTTAAATAAAATAATTAAAGTGTGAATGTCTCAGAATAATTCCATCAGCTGAAGACACGTGATCCTACCAGAAAACTGGACTCGTCCCCAGACGTTGTAGATGTTTCCCATGAAGGGACTGGACTTCAGGGAGGACCTGAAGGCTGCAGAACAATCAGCTTCATCAGTCGGTCCAAACAAATCATAAAAGTCAACACAGAGCTGTGACGGAAAGAAGCCGACTGATTTTAAACGTCCTCTGAGAATAAAACCTTTTCACAGCGAGGACTTTACTCTGAGACCTCGGCCGTGTCCAAACATGGAGGGACCACAGGACCGACCGGCTCAGATCACTGAGACATCAAACAGGAGGACGGAGAGTTTCCTTCACCTTTACAGCGGGAGACGAACAGAGACCTCTCCAGGGGCCGGCTGAAAGCCACGAGCTGCTGCGTGAAGACCAGACCCTCAGACCCAGAGGACATGTGTCCTCTGCACCTGGACACACAGAACACGTGGACGTCACATGTTGCTGTTACCCAGCGGCTCACAGGAACGACTCAAACAACTAAAACTGTTCAGTGGTTCATGAGATATTTTGCTAACAGACACACAGAGCAACTGTACAACTGGAGACTGCAGGACCAGCAGGCGACCCCTGACAGTCGCCCTGAGGGTCTTTACAGCAATCAGCAGCTGATAATTGCCTCTCAGCTGCTCCACAGCAGCTGAGAGGCAATTAAACCAAAGAAAGCCGAAGTAGGACTCAATCAGCTAAAATGTGGCGTGTTGGAGACGAGTGTCTGTCTCACCATCCGGGGTAGAGGACGTAACGGGCTCTGAGCATCTGAGGCTCACTGAAGCTGCTCTCAGACAGAATCATACACAGGTCTTCATCCCTGGGTTAAAAGAAAGAGAGATTATTTCACCGCCGCCTCTCAGAGCTTCAGAGCAGCTGATGGTCCATTATGGACAGAAACAGGGACACATGTAACATTCAGAGTCCTGAGGTCCATTTCAGACAACGTCAAACATGGCGGCGGTGGAGGAGATCATATTCTCAGAAAGAAGCAGCGCAGCAGGTGGAAGGGGTCCCGTCGCCCATCAGCTCCTCAGTTTCTCGTCTTCTTCCTCTTCGTTCTTTTCGCTGGTCGGAGCCGTCGCCCCTGGATGTCTGGTTGGATACTCAACCTCCAGACAGTGGAGGTGAAGCCACTTTGATCAAACCTTGAAGTATCTTGCAGGAGCTCTTAGCTCTTGGAGTGCATCTTGTGAAGGACTGTCGGCTCACAACGTACCGAACTTTAGCTCATCATCTGGAACATTCACTGAGGTGTTTCTGTAGGCTGCTGTCGATCAGCTGCAGCGGCTCTACACCACCCGACCATCCATCAGGACTGCAGTCTGAGTTGATGTCTTCGCCCCCTAAGGCGCTGGATGGTCTGCCAGAACCTTAAAGTCCTCCTCCACGGCCCACCAAGCGTTGCTCCATCAGAACCCGTCTGCTGCTTCTGGAGCTCCAGAGTCCAGCCATGTCCTGTAGGCCTCCTCCTTCAGCGTGACGGCTTCCCAAACCTCTGGTGTCTACCAGAAGTTCTTCTCAGTGGGACGTGACCAGAAAACCTCCAAAGGGAGGCGCCCAGATCAGATGAACCTCCTCAGCTGATGAGGAGGAGCAGTGGCTCTACTCCGAGCTCCTCCTACCTTTAAGGCTGAGACCTGGACCTCCTGACCACAGGTGAGGGTTGAAATGGGAACGGACCAGTAAATCCAGAAATTTCTCTTTTGTATTTACTATTTTTGATTATTTACAGAAAGTTTCATTAACATCTGTTCAATGACTCGTGGGATATTTTGCTAACAGTACAGCCAGTCTCTTAATAAGCTTGTGATGTGAGAAATGAGCAGCTTTCTATTTTCAGCAGAGACAGAAGTGGATCCTGGTGGTGAGGGAACCTACCTGATGACAGCTCCTCTCTCTGCTCGTATGAACGCAGCCGTGGGGTTAGCGGAGCGTACCAGCTGCTGAACGTGCTGCACCAGGGGGCTCTTCTCCTCCGCTGTCAGCCCCGTGAACACCACGGCACTCACAAAGCCTGGCACACAACACGGCACAAAGACGGTGAGTTCTGGGAGAAGAAGGACCTCTGTCTGCACAGCTGCTTTCTTACACCAGCTTTGTTGTCTCTAAAACTGACACGTTCATTCCTTCCAGAAGAGAAAACAATATAAAAAATACATTTCTGAGTCAGATTAAAGTTTTTTTTAATCATCTCAGCTCCACTCAGACCCCGGTGCTGCTCTTCAAACTGGATCCATCAACAAACATGACGGATCAAATCCAGCGTCTGAGTACGAGCTGGAGCGTCGGGCCTTTAATCAGGTTTTATAATCAGCTGTTCAGATTTTAATGAGCACGATGCGTGTCGCCCGCCACCTCTCCTGTCAGATCACTGAACCTGGTCTGGGATGACTCACCTTGGCTGCACTGCTCCAGGAGCTTTGGAAACGTTAGCCTGAGGTCAGACAGAAGAACTCAGGTTAGACACAGAAAACACCGAGAACAGAGAGAGGAACGACTCCTGGAGGGAAGAAGGACGATGGACTGAAATAAATAAACAACTTTTTAAAGTGTAGCTTCACAGCAGCTTCCAGGTAAAATAAAATACAAACACAAAAACAAAAACAGGACAAGACAGAAATTATTGTTATTTTTTTTAATTCCCTTTTGGCTTCTCCCTTCTTCAGAGGTCTCCACAGTCACACGAAGACTTGCCGATTGTTTTTATGCCGGACGCAACCACAGACCACTGAGCAACAACAGCCCTCTGTGCAGACGATGGGGGTTAAGGGCATTGCTCAAGGGCCCAGAATGGGGCAAATTAGGGTGGAGGCAGGTGTGGGTGCTTTACCTTTCCCACCCACATTTTGATGTTGTCGGAACCGGGAGTTGAACCGGCGATCTTCCGATCACAGGTCCACCTTCTACAACCTCTGCGCCACCACTCCCTCACTACAAATAAAAATACTATGACTCATACAAGTACCCTACTACCATCAATATAATAGTAATACTATGACAACAGCAATTAACACTACTAATGATATTAAAATATCTGAAGTATTACTACAACAACTACTAATAATATCAGTGATAGTACTATGATGAGAACTCAAGAGTACGATTTAGAAAAAGGAGGAGGAAGATAAGAAAAGGAGAAGAAAACATAATATTTCTTATTATTAGTAGTAACTATAAAACAACATCAATATTATTTTGAATAACACAAATACTAATACTACAACTACTACTAATACAATGACTAATACTAATACCCTTACTACTACTACGATAAAACAATAGGTTTCATTCAAAATTAAAACTTGTTGAATATAAATATTTCTAAATAATAAAACCATAATATCTTCTTCTTCTTCTTTGTTCCCTCTTCAGGGGTCTCCACAGTGAGTCCTCCTCCAACTACCTCCACCCTCCACGTCCTCTCTAACTGCATCCATATGAGGCACCACAAAGGTCATATGGAATAAATTCAAATTATTATATTAAGTATTAATATTTAGATTATTGCTGTGGATGATTTAATCAGAAATGTGTTTAATTCATCTCATAAACCAGTTTAAAAGAAACTCACTGTGTAAACAGATTATTATGGGCAATAATTCGTCATATATTTGCTGTGTTTGTAAATCAGAATGTGTGAAAACATTTTAAAGATGGAGGACGGCGCCGGCGCTTCAGTGGCTCAGGTGGACGTTACTTTATGATTTAGTGGAAGAAAAACTACATTATTTTCCAGATATATATTTTTGAAAATCACGTTCGGTAGCGCTGACGCTGACCTCCATTGTCAACATGCACTACTGTCTTACACAAAGTTTTTGTCTGTAAAGAGTTCTTCACAAAGTAACATTTGTAACATGTGTAATTATTTTTACAAATCGATCAGTTTTACACAACAATCCTTACGTATGGATGCACAAAGATGTGTAAAACGTTTACACACATTCAGATTAACAAGCACAAAATGAATATGACTGGAATTAGTGCCTAAAGATTAGAATGTATTTTCCAAACATGGGATTATAATCTGAAGAGGAATCTGATGACTGAAGAGCCTTTAATGTAATTCACATCATTTATGGTGACCATTGATTCTGGTTTTGGATCTTTTTGAGTCAAACTGAGACGGAGCAGGAGAAGAATCACTCCGAGAAGCTTTGCTCCTCTCCTCGGCTCATGAATTCTTTTTATTCTCATCACAAAGAGGAAACCATGTTTGGATCCACGTGTGGACCTGAGGGATTACAGACCCACGATGACGGGGTGACGGGGAGGTCAGGCCTAAGCCGGGCTGACCTTTCTCAATTAGCACCCCAGCAGCACCACAGACACAAAGAGCTTTTCTTAAAAATGTGGAAAATATTCTGCTGCCTGCAGCTGAAGGTCCAGACGGTGAGGTCAGGACGTGAAGAGAACACGTGGAGGAGGAGAATCACGTTGTTGAAATATTTGGAGAGTCACAAAAGACACTGGGGGACACTGAACAACCATTTGTAGGTTTCTAATTTTGATGTCAGAAGTTTCCACTCATCCTGGGCATCGGATCTGTTTTAGTCTTTAAATAATTTATTTAAACTGTTTATTTATTAATTTATTTTTTTCATGTTATTGGAATGATTTTACATCAAACAACTGATAAAACAAGTTTAAATTTATTATCTGACGCAGCAGGGTCAAAATTCATCCAACATAAACCTAAATCTTTTAAAAAAGTGATGCTGGAGTTTCTAGAAGGTCTTCACTTCCTGTCGGTGAATATGAACGACCGCGGTCGGTCGTCTCTCTTTGCCAACACAAAACAGAATTTGTTGGACAGTCCTCATCTGTCCCCCTCAGTCCTCATCTGTCCCCCTCAGTCCTCA